TGAAACCCCCTAGGTTAACCTTCAAAACTAAAAGCCTTCAGGTTAACCTTCAAAACTGAAACCCCCTTCAGGTTAACCTTCAAAACTAAAAACCTCCTAGGTTAACCTTCAAAACTGAAACCCCCTAGGTTAACCTTCAAAACTAAAAGCCTTCAGGTTAACCTTCAAAACTGAAACCCCCTAGGTTAACCTTCAAAACAAAACAAAAATATATTAGGTCAAATTCTGCAGGGTTTTCAGACACCATGCTTCTTAGACATTCTAGATCAGCCGTCCTCCCAGTGTTCTTACTAATCAAGGTGACATTGTCCACTTACAATTTTGAAGTGTTTTCTTGTGGTGCTAAATAGTGTAAACATTTTGTTTTTAATTATTGTTTTTCACTTACATGTACAACTCAGCTGGATTCGTAAAAGTAATGCTGCAGAAACTGAAAAAAAATTAGGAAAGTAGCGGAATTGTTGCACTTCCTAATGAAAGCATGTAACTGCAATGCTGCACATGTTCCGATTCAAGTTTCATCAAATGTATTGTTTTCTTATTTCCTGCCTTGCTAATAAAATCCTGCTAAGCCCAGGGGTTTCACAAATGCATTTAATAGCGGGCCATCATCCTGTAACAACAGGCCAAAAAAAAATAAAAAGGCTCTCTGCAGTGCGAAGTGTTGCAGCGAGACCAGCATAGGTGGTCGGAGGGGGGAGAGATCAGAAAAAAGACGGCCGATGATGGCTTGTAGCTGACCATTTGGCTGTTGGCCGGCTATTAATGAAACCTCTGTAAACCCAAGTAACGTACACTGATACTAGTTGAGAAAGGACGCTCATTTCAGACATGAACATAGCGATGAAGGCGACTCAATTTGCAGTAATTTGAATAATAAATAGATATACTATCATATTATTTACGTATTTATCATTATTGACAGGTATTTTACATTGTTTATGAATTTGCTGAATGACTGCAGTGAATGTGAAGATGATAAACAAGGAGAAGGTAGAAAGCGAAGTAATACAAACAGTCTTACATCATTACGAAATTGTACGGTGCAGGCAATGTCTAATCTACTCAGTGCTAATATCGATAGTGGACTAATGCATTCCATTGGTATGTTATGTACAATTCTTGTGTTTTTCTTAGGTCTGGTAAATGTTACCATAGTTTCTCAAACTTGTTACCTGAATTCCAACATTTAATGTATTGTGCTATGTACACTAATTATTACTATACTATCCCAATTGTGTTATGCACGTGTGCATTAGCAAGAACCGGTCATTCGACCCACTGATGGTAGTTTGCTGCTGTTGTATTTAAATATATGATATGTTTTCCTGTTTAAAATTGTGAGCAACATTGTGACAAAACCTCATGAGCTAGTGTTGATCACTGAGCAACATCAGTAGCAGACAGTCATACTGTATGATGTCACAGTGCGATGGCCTATAAAGTGAATATCTGGATCCCGTTGGTGTTCAGTTTAGCCAGATTTCACTGTTAAAGGCATTGTGTTTTGTCAGGTTTGGGATACCACAAAGATCTACAGACGAGAGCAACGTTCATGGAGGTGCTGACAAAGATTCTTCAACAGGGTACAGAGTTTGATACTTTAGCCGAGACAGTTCTTAATGATAGATTTGAGAGATTGGTTGAATTGGTGACCATGATGGGAGATAGGGGAGAGTTGCCTATAGCTATGGCGCTAGCGAGTGTGGTGCCGTCGTCACAAATGGTGAGTTGACGTGTTAATGAATAAGCATGTATTATCACCATAGTTATATATTTCACATGCTTATCACTATCACAATGTAATATGGTAATAAAGTAATTGAAATTGTGACTATTTAAGACATATTTTCTGCAATAGGCCCTATGCCTAGCCCCTAACTACACCCTAGTACTTTCTGTCATAAAGGTCACACATCGTGGTACTTTCTGTCATAAAGGTCACACATCCTGGTATTTTCTATCATAAAGGTTACACATCCTGGTACTTCCTTGAGGTATTGTTTCTGTGTAACAGGAATAATTAATGACAACTGCTTGCATTTTGAGGAAAAATAATTAAGATTTTGATGGACATGTTAGTCTGAAACACAGACAACCCTAAAAAATATGTACAATAAGAAACATTCTTTTTAAATTTAAAATCACTGGTTTGTGAAGGAAACTAAACATTATACATAATTTTACTGTTAAATTTGTATATTCAGTGGGTTATAATTTATAGTTTTAAACAATAACAAAAATAAAAGCCAACTAATAATGAAGTCCAATACAGCACCATCTTAGAGTGAATCTTCATCCCATTCATCACTCTGCTTTCTGAATGGGTCCCATGCAACAAGTACAATGAGTCACAAAATACAATACTTATTATACTGCGTAATGACAGGAGATTTAATATTAGCCATGACAGTTTCTATCTGAATTCAGACTAATCAAATCTCATGTTGTTTTCTTCTATTTTAGGATGAACTAGCCAGGGTATTTGTAACTTTGTTTGATGCTAAACATCTACTCTATCAACTACTTTGGAACATGTTTTCAAAAGAGGTATGTATATTACATAACTAGCATGTAGTCAGCTTGAGCATGAACCATATTTAGACTGATTGTTGGATGTCGTCACATAGTCAGGTGACTGGAAAAACTAGCATGTGATCAGAAAAATAGCATGTGATCAGAAAAAATAGCATGTGATCAGAAAAATTAGCATGTGATCAGAAAAAATAGCATGTGATCAGAAAAAATAGCATGTGATCAGAATAATTAGCATGTGTACAGAAAAATTAGCATGTGATCAGCTTGAACATGTACCATAATTAGACTGATTGTTGGATGTCACACATAGTCAGTTGGCTGGAAAAACTAGCATGTGATCAGAAAAACTAGCATGTGATCAGAAAAAATAGCATGTGATCAAAAAAACTAGCATGTGATCAGAAAAACTAGCATGTGATCAGCTTTAACATTACCATATTTAAACTGGTTGTTTGATGTTGTCACATAGGTTATATAAAACTCATGTATTAATGCATCTATCTTTAGTGTGTTGTGAAATAAATGATGAAGAGATTTCAAGGCATTGATATATTTGTGAAATGCTATTGTTATCTGAAGATTTTTCATAAAAACAAAATTATAAATACATGTGCCTATTGAGGGCACTGGTCATATATTTAAATACAAAGATGTAGAATCTATGTTTAAAAGTGCTCTTTAATATATGATATGAAATCATCAGC